GCAATGGAATGAGTAAAGTTCCTTCTGAGCTGTGAAAAGGAAGAGCGAAAAATGGCAGTAGGAAGGAATCCGACGAAGGGCGGCTTATGGAGCGCCGCACCTCGGTGGACTGCTTCAGGAGTGGGTGCTTGCGGCTTCCATTCCTTCTAATTGTTTAGAGGAAGGCTCCTCGGAAGGTTGCGTTTCTGTTTTTCAGGTGTTCTTTTTGGCTGACGACGATGATACCCCAGGCCTTATTAGTAACTAATCATACCGCATACGTTGCTCAGACGTCGTTTGACAAATAACCCGAAAGAGAATTTTAGAGGGATTAAAAACAACCGGTTAGAGACGTTCCTTGTCCGCCACCTACGCGACAAGACGCTTTCAGAGACAAATGAAAGTGTTTCATATTTACTTAATTTTCAATTACTAGTCCACGTTCCCTTCCGAGTGGCCGAATAAACTGAGTGACTGTGGGTGTGTAACTCACGTCTGAAAATGCATTACTTTGGGGATAAACGTGTTGTTCAGCCTGTACCCCGCCGCGCAAAATTTTGTTCGCAGTATCCAGTTTGTCCGTCTGGAACGTTCCCTTTCGTAATTAATTTTGGCCTGCATGATGCAAAGATACTGCCTGGTATATTATAATTGTATTCTTTGGAGTGATATTGACTTCGGTACTTATGAACTTGTAGGCCAGTTTCAGGTGTATATTTTCGATGGTTAAAAACAGATGGCGCCAAGCCTTATCAAAATTAATCATGCGATTCTGTTTCTACCGAAAATCAACTAAAAATCAGTAAGTGAAGGTGAGCATCAGTGACTAACGTAAAACTTACCAGCAGGCAGGACAGAAACTCACGATGCCTCCGGAATCTGCAATAGGTGGGCTAACTTATGAAATGTCAACCGAAACCTCGGAATGCGTTTTCGTTTCGAAAAGATTAATTGAGTAGGGTTGTGAAACTAGTCATTTTGCAGCATACGGCTCTAATAATTCAGCCACCTCAGGACGCCAGCTTTCGAACGAACTTCTTTGCGGCTGCATGCGAGAACTATACTCTGTAAAAATGGCTACTGAAGTAGAATGCATTTTTCTCACTGATTTTCGATGTCCCAAAGATTCGCTTATATTTCGTGGAAAACATGCTTAAATATATTCTTTTGTTCATTTTGTAGAAAGTGACGTCTTCTTTCAATGTTATGCTCAGTAGAAGGGTATAATTCGGGTTTCAGAAACTTTCCCAATTCCCGGATAATTTTTTAACTCGACCTGCCGCTACACTTGCATTCAGAGTTTCCAAACTACAAGCCGTATAGTTTCCGCGTACGGAAAACCAAGTATTTCTGCACGCTGTTAAGAAGAAACTATATGGGGTTCATAAAATTAAGCACTGGATTTGAGCCATATTGTTAACTTTACAAGCCGCATTGGTAAATGTAGATACATGACGTTTTATGAACGGCCATTTTACGGTATTAAAAAATCTCACAATTAGAAAATTATCAAAATTATATTATATCCTTCCTTCGAGTATAACATTGAAAGAAGACGTCACTTTCTACAAAATGAACAAAAGAATATATTTAAGCATGTTTTCCACGAAATATAAGTGAATCTTTGGGACATCGAAAATCAATGAGAAAAATGTATTCTACTTCAGTAGCCATTTTTTACAGAGTATAGTTCTCGCATGCAGCCGCAAAGAAGTTCGTTCGAAAGCTGGCATCCTGAGGTGGCTGAATTATTAGAGACGTATGCTGCAAAATGACTAGTTTCACAACCCTACTCAATTAATCTTTTCGAAACGAAAACGCATTCCGAGGTTTCGGTTGACATTTCATAAGTTAGCCCACCTACTGTATATCAGTTTTTGTCAACCTTACGCAACTTGGATGATTGTTTTTTTTTAAACGTCCACAAGTTATGTTCTGCTACTGGCCAAATACTGTTAACAAAGTTGATCGAAAACTGCGCGGCGATTTCTATACAACTGGCGGTCATTCTGAAGACTTAGTACGTGTTTACGATCTATGGATGGCTAGAAAATGAGTTAAAATTTGAAAAGTTAGCACTAATTTTTGTCCTTATTAGGCGCAAAATCAATGTTACCCACAGCAGAGTAAAGTGTTCGCGAACATGCGCTTTATATTGGAGTTGCTCCATGTGATTGTTTCGAAATAAGAAATATCAACTTCAGTTTAATATTCTTCATCGGACGTTTACATAATGTCAGGTCACATGACATACTTCATTGCTAATTAGCAGGAAGATTTCCGGATATTCAATCTTTGCCTCTTCATGCCAATTAGAGCTTTGATTCTTGATGAGAATGCCGAGTGAAAGTACAGATATGGAAACGTTTGCACCCATTGTTGGACTATGTGCACCTCATATAGTGTTGAGTTTTGCTTTCGAATTGAAAGCAATATTTTTATGATTGGCATAAAACTCGCCATTACAGGTTATGTTGATGGCTTTGATGAGACTGCGACGGGTCTTTAATAAAAATTATTATTACTATTGGTCCAGTGCGGCAGGTCGCTAAAAGTCACGACTGTCGATTGACAAGTAAGGACGGCAACGTCTTCGGTGTTTGCCCAAAAAACCTCCACCGATGACTTGATTGAATCTGCCATTGGTTCCTCTGCAATAATGCAAGAATTATAATACAATCGCGGTCAAACTGCTGAATCTGTTTAATTGCGCGGCTGGTCATTCAAATAAGCGCGTTGATGAAAACTCTCTCACAGGTGTAACCATGCACTTTTTGGCTGTAAAGTCAACTTCAGTTAATTGAGCCGCAGGGGAGACCGAGTTAGTCGTCTGGTGTGGTGTAATGTTGGAAGACACATGAAAGTAAAAGCATTGGCACTATTATATTACTTTTTTCAGCGTTACCACGCAGTATGACTTGGCCTATGATTGTTCCAAGTCAGACTAGGGGTCGGCGCGGCTGGAAGAACAGCCTGCAGTTGAAGCGGAACAAGCAAGCATCCTCTAGTCAAGCGCTCACTAAAGTGGCCTGTTTAAGCCTTATACGGGATTGTAGTTCATTCAGCTGAACCAACAGTCGAACTCGATGCTGCCGATGATAGAACTTGTCACTCTGTGTGCCAACCTAGAGGCTGCAAACAGCCAAAGCAGGTGAATCATGCAGGGATGGGTGACAAAAGTGTCCGTCAGAATTGTAATCGGCCCTTATGTAGCTGAGCTATATGATGTCCTGGATTGTGCCTTTTTGCACATGACAAGCTGCGGAAGCTGACATAGACAGGTTGCTCTACTGTTTTTTGCAACTATGGGGGTTGGATATCTGAGACCCATTAACTACCTTCATGTCTTTAGGGATTCTGTTCAGGCAGGGTTTAATTCATCCTCGTTTCGTCGCCTCCGGTAGATCGGTGGGACTTGATCCGAAATCGCAGCAATAAGTTTGTGGGCGACGCAAAATATGCTGCAACCCTCTCACTTTCCTTTTTTCGACTGGCAGATCTCTCCTCGCGATGTTACATCCAACAAATACGGACTGCATCGTTCGGGAAGAATTCGATTTATTTAAATCGAAGAATGATTCTCCGGGCAATAGTAACAAAACACTGAGTTTTCGTTAGTTTTTTACGCGTACATCACAGCATTCACAGCCGCACAGGAGGACTGACCGTAATTATTCCAGGCACACGGATATTTGTGTCGATTGCGATATGTCCATGTGCGCATTTGGTAGCTGGCAAAAGTCCTGCAAGCAAAATTGACCTGGAATACACCTCGTTCTTACTCTACCAATATGGTAATAACTTCTGTTCGGAATATGTTAAACCATTCGTTGCTTCAAAATGGCAACCATGCATCTGGATAAGTGATTCCCGGGGGTATGAAATGTCACTCGAAAACATTTTGATCTCCCCGTTATTGGTGTATAAGTCGACTAATATCACGAACCCACTCACTTGAAACACCACGCTCTGCAGGTCATCATAGTATAGTATTGGCAAGAGTGTATAACCAGCTTAATCGAGGCCGGCCAGTCTTTGTCGCTGTACAAAATCGACACCGCCAACGCCACATAGACTGCTTCCGATAGTTCAGTCAGTGACGTAGTTAGACAGGCTACGCGGCAAATTGTGCCTTTACTGGACGTCAGACTAATAATCGAGAGGTTCATGAGGACGGCTTTTGAACAGGAGTCCATCAGTGGCAAATCAGTAATTTTTGCTACCGCACGGTTTAGCCCTAATTCCATGACATGCATTCTCGATGAGATGTGTTGAACGCGGCTGCAAAATTGATAAACCAGACCATCGTCCTTCCCTGATCACGATGGTGGAGTTCGTGGATATGGCGTGATACATCACTGCATCGATCCTCAGATCGAAACTCCGCATTACCGAGTCTGATCTGATTCGCGCGTACATTGAAGCTAATTGAAAATATTGATAGAAAGATCTGCACAGTAATGTCCACTGGTCTCATTCAGTGAAAATTCCCGCGATTAGCCTTATCTGCCTTGTGATGACGGGCACGAGAATGGTCGAGTTCCAGTCTTCAGGAACGGTTACATCTATTCGTCCATGCTCAAACGCCTCAAGCGCCATAGTATCAGCATAAAGCTTGTGGACTTCGACGAAGATGCCGATTTCCGATAGAAGCGAACAGGCGAGTTCCAGGAAGCAGTTCAGATGACGAAGATGCGATCATTGGAACAAAGAATTTATTGCCCTGAAATTCTGGATTATTACTCCAACCCATTATCAGAGGCAGTTGCAGATAAGGGTAATGGCGGCACAAGGAGTGCAGTAGTTATGGTACGCAGCTGCCGTGGGACCATATGCGTACTATAATTTACGCCTCTCGCAATTATCGCTGCGGGACGTAATTGACGTGATGACGACTTGTCAGTCCGTGTCCGACTCGTAAGCTGCCGCGACTTCGCCATCCGTGTTGGATGCTGTCGTGACGATTGCTCGACAAGCTGGCTTACTGTCACTGAGATAATTGCTCGCCCGTCACTCCCCGCCTAACCGATTCCACTGCCCAGGGAAAAACTCAGCAGAGAATTCGGTAACAGGAGGTCATTGCGCTTGTTGTTGGATTGCGGGCCCGAGAACCATGACTTGAAGAGTTCGCGGCTCACGCCGTGGTCACCGCTTTCGAGGATTTCGACCTATTGAAATTTGAAAATATCGCTGGGTCCCGTCGAATGTGCCGCCACCTGAGAGCTAGCGTCTTCCCGCCTCACTGCTGCTGCGTGCTCGGCCATTCGCGTTCGGAGTAGTCACTCAGTTTCTCTGACGTAGTTGCTACGTCCGCAACTGCACCAGACCAGGTAAACGACTCCTGACGCTTCCTGCCGTGGCAGTGGGTCTTTCGGCCTCATGACTTGACACCTAATGGTTGCTTCCGGCCTGTGTACAACCCCAACTCCAATTAGAGTAAGAAGACTAATGACGGCTTCCGAGACGTTCTTCACGTACGGAAGGGCCGCCAAAATTTGGGGCAGGTTGGATTTGGTTTTTGATGTCGTTTTCGTATGCACTGGTTGTCAAAGTTGCGCAGGTAGCCAACCAGTTATACCAGTCAGCCAGTTTTCGTTGTATTGCACAAAGCTCAGGAAATGTAAATATTGGCCGTTTCATGTATCTTTCTGGGAAAATGTTCGCCTTATTGAGCCATCTTCCTGTCTAGTCATGAGAACGTCCAGGAAAAGTAGCTTGTTCTACTTCTCCTTTTCCATTGTGGCTTTGATCTTCGGATGCAGACTACTTATAATAACAGTTAGGTCTTCGACCTTCCGCATTGCTTCCGTACAATGTTTTCATTTTCAGTGTTCTATGTCGACTTATATGTTAAAAGATACTTCTAATTTTATTGAGGGAATGAGACCTCAAAACATTTTCTGCAGGTGCATGATATCCTTGGACGTAGAATTGCTATATAAAAGTGCGCCAACTGATGAAACCATAGATGTCATATGCGTCCATGCATCTGAAACCCGATTTAAAACTGAAACCCTACGTGGCTTTTTGAAATTGTGCACGAAAACACTTGATTTCTGCTAAATGGACGTCTGCACAGACAAGTTGGCAGAGGAGCAATGAGAAAACTGCTGTGTTCCCATAAGGATACATGAAAAGGTCAATATTTACATTCCCTGAGCTTTGTGCCAATACAACGAAAACAAAACCCACAGTGCAGTCTTTTCCAAAGAATAAGAACCATTTCCTCTATTGAGACACTTGATGCAGAAGTTGCTTGCCTCAAAACGACCTTGCCCAAACGGAGATATCCAGCACGTCTCATCCAAGGGTATAACAACATCTTATGGCAAAAAAAGTGACGGAACAATTAACTCCGAAAAATCCTATTGTAATATCCGTACTCTTTATGGGTGACAAAATTTCAAATGCCATGAAGCGACGATCGAGATGAACTATTAAAAAGGTGTGCAACACAGCCGAACTCGTATTCGTCAGTCTCAATACAACACTCCCAATCCCACGGGCAGAGGATGCTTTACCACTGCGCGTCACCTCAAGTTGTGTTTATGAATTCGCATACATGTGTGGATGTAAGCATAGTGGGTGAACTAAAGGCAGTTGGAAGCCAAATCATTTGAGCACCAGCCTAAATTTTTTTTATATTGGGAAAATAAAATTCCTCGTTCTTCTATCACGAAGCACCTCCTAAATGGCGATCACTCCGTTGGCCCCAAAAAAATTCTTCCGAGTGCTACTTATGGCACAAACAACCCCGAAATTGTGCTACTTGGAGGCAGCCTACATACGGAGAGAGAAACCCGATCAATGCAAACAGTTATGTCAACCTCAGTCTTCCGTGGTAAATCTCAGCCTTTTGATTTACACGCCCCTCTGAATGTTAATCTCCTCTTTTTTCTTTCCTAAATTGTGTTTTGGGTTACAATTTTCATTCGTAAGTCCGTGTGCGGTAATCAAGGACATTGTTGTTTTGCACTGATGTTTTCTGTGCGAATTGAAATCTTTGTCTCTGTTTCATTTGTTATCTGTGTTATACAGCGGCAGGTTGCAGTTAATAAGTCGTGAAATTTGTTGGTACCCATAACTTCTCTTGTACGCTGCGGAATTACCACGTAATATACACAAGCTGCCAACTGACAGACAGTAATATACAAATACTTCATGCTTCACAATGCTGATATGGCATGTTCTAGAGAAATGCTTACGTATTCACATAGAAACTTTCGCATTAATTCTTTAAAAAACTGTGACATTTACTACAAGTTTGCGCATTTGTTTCCTCTGAAATTAAACAAAGCAGCAAAGAAAATGGAGTTTGTATATCAGAAAGCATATAAAAACGCTGCGTAGCCCGCTAATAAGGCGAACCCATCACAACTACGCCATGCATCGGCAAACGATTGGCGAAATACACATGTATGGGTTTCTAGCCATTACCTTTTACTGCCAGGGGGCAAACCATTCAGTATTTGTATACTACTGGATGTCTATCGTCAGCTTGCGAACACTACGCGGTCAATGCACGACTGCCCATGGACTTCAGCTCATATAGTTGTATATAAACTTCCGAAAGGAACCTAAAAAGCTGTGTTCTGAAGGTTTACTTCAATTTTGGGAATTCATTTCCACGGAAAATTGAATAAATCATTCGCCCTATTGGATGCTTTGGCCTTGCCTCTCCATGCGGCAAGGGGGAGAAAATGTTGAGCTTCGGTGGCCAGATCCGGCTGGCTGTCACCAACACATGCTGCCTGCATTGCCGTATGATATCAAAAGTCCAGACCATGTTATTATTCGTTCACAACTAAAACTTCACGTCATCCGCGCACAGAAAATGTCGTGTAGTAATTTGTCACAAGAGTGTGGTAACCTAACGCAGCCGAGACTCGGAGCACAGAAATCCGATTCTGACCAGAAGATCGAGTTGAGGCAGGAGGCAGTAATAAATCCTAGGTCGCAATATAGCTGAAAAAAGTAGTTTTGGGCGTTATGATAGCAAAGCAGTTGCGGAAGCATACAACCGTCTAGCCAGCCAGCGCAGGCCGGATCTTACAACGAGGATTCCTACCACCATTTCCAGAAAATTATTGTGCACTTGACTGGAGAAATTACAAAACTAGTGGGTTGAATTTGTGAGCATTTTGGAATGGGCCTCGGGAGATGCCAAACGACTGGATGGCCTACGAAACCGTAGAAATCCAGGGGTATGCAGACCGCAATGAATCAAAGAACTTCTTTGCAACGTTCAGAGCTACCTACGGTCCCTCAAACAAAGGAGCCGCAACGCCTCTTAGCCCCGATGGAACAAAGCTTCTGACGAAAAAATCATAAATTCTGAAGCGCTGGACCGTGCACTTCAGAAATGTCTTCAACCGCCCATCTACAATCTCCGAAGCCGTCATCAATCGACTTTCTCAAGGGGATCTGCCGCCTTCTCTACCAGAATAAAATCGGGCCGTGCACCAAATCTCCATTGGGAAGGCACCGAAATCTCACGCGATTCCGGTCGAAGTCCACGAGCCCCGCGGCTACCGGCTGATGGGTCAAATTGTGACGATAGTTTAGGAATTCTGGCGCCAAGGACAGCTTCCTTAAGATGTCAGGGCTGTGACGATCGTCCATCTTTACAATCGGAAAGGGAACCAGCAACTTTGTAATAACCACGGAGGAATCTCCTTTCGCAACATCGCCGGGAAGATCTTCGCTTGCATTCGCCCCGAACATCTCAACGGCCATCTCGAACAAGGACTTCTGCCGGAAACTCAGTGTGCGTTCCAACGCCGCCGCGGAACCACTGACCTGATCTTCCTCGACCGCCAGCTACAAAAGAAAAGACAGGAAATTCAGACCCACCTCTACACTATCTTCGCGGACTTGAGGAAAACTTTCGACATGGTAAATCTCGATGGACTTTGGGAAATCAGGCAGAAATTCGGCTGTCCTGAATGAGTAACGAACATGGTGCGTTAGCTCCACGACGGGATGATGGCGCTCCCTATGGACAACGGGACGATCATCGAGGCATTTGTAGTGACCAGTTATGTGAAGCAGGGTTGTGAACTACCGCCCATCTTCTTCCAGCTCATGTTCTCTGCCACGCTGATGGACGCCTACCGTAATGGGCAACCTGGAATACGTATCACCTATAGGACTCACGGACATCTTTTCAACAGCAGGTGAATGCAGACCTTATAACGGCTACCTTTAACTACATTTCACGGCCTGCCCTTCGCGGTCGACTGCAAACTCAACTTCACGACCTTAGAGGATATGCAAAGGTGCATGGGCCTATTGACCACTGGAGGCGCCAAATTCAGACACACAACCAACACGGACAAAACGGTGGTCATATACCAACCGTCACCCAACATGGAATACAGCACTCCCGAATCAACGAGAACGACAGCCAACTTAAAACTGAGGGAACACACACTCGCGTGTCACAAAGATCGACGGAGTGTTTGCCCATCGGATCTCCAAAGTCATCCAGATTTGCAGCCGGCTGCAAGCCTCCGCGTGAAATCGCCACGTCCATCAAGTGAACACCAAACTGACAATGTACAAGGCCGTCATCATGACGACCCGGACACAGAATTTTGGAGACGAACTGGCATCCTCAGCATTCACTCCATGTTGAGGCAACTGCAAATAGGATGGAATAGCTACCTTGTGACGAAGTGTCGTTACGGGTGCTCACCGAAAGGCAGAACAAAAACAACGCCATGGACCTGGGAGGACCTCGCCCAGGACAGACCCACCTGGAGAACAGCAGTGAAGACCGGTACAACAATCTACAAGGCAAACCGGATCGCCGCTGCCCAAACCAAAAGGGCGGCCCGCAAGTCCCAAGCGCCTCGGATACAAGATGGCAACAGCCAAGCGATTACAGGACGTCCCCGCTGCCACCGCACATTCCGAGCACGAATCGGCCTCTTCTGACACCTACGGACGCAATGCAAAAACAACCCTGCCACATAAATTTCTTCCATAAACAGACCTTTTGTTCTCCCTGCCTCAAAACCCGCGACGACGACCATCCCATTGCAGAGTATGCTACCCGGACTGTCTAGTCTTCACACCACATGCGCGCGACCAACGTCGTGTATCCCCTTTCAGACAACCTTGGTGCTGATTGGCCACCCTTCAGCCTATAACATTTCCCCCAGCCGTTTCTACAAGGCTCCCCACTTCTGTTGTCTCCCGTACCCAGTGCACGTCCTGTCTACAGCCTTCTGTTTTGCAAACTAACAGTGTCGATGCAGCTTAACGAACATGGCTTCATTGTTGCCTACACCGTTGCCTTTCTGGCCGAAAACCGCTCCGAAACCCTCAAATGACACGTGGCTGCAATGGAGAAAGACATTTCAGGATTACGTTGAACTACTTCCGATTTTGTCACCCACGATTGCATTAGGCGTTACCTCTAAGTTGAAATTCCTCCGGACGAATCTCGGAGAGTTGGGACAGCGGTATTTCGACGCTCTTAATCTACAAGAGGCTACGGATCTTCAAACGACCTTCACAAAGCTCGAGTCAGCGCGGGGAAAAAAGACGTCTTCCCCAGTCTCTATGGTTTTGTCAGATGCGTCAGGAATCCTATCAATTCGTAGGTGATTTTATTACGGCTCTGACTCTGGCCATCCAGGACTGTAGGTATAATGAGATCAAGGCAGACAACTTCGAGCGCGCAATGCTCGTTTAGCAGTTGATCGTTGGTTTGCGCGATCAAAAAGCTCAGGAAATTCTCTTATCGGAGAAGAGGGCTTTGTCATGGGAGAAATCCTGTGATACCGCCAGTCATCAGGAGCGCGTACGGCAAAACCTCCAGCAGCTGAATCAGCCAAATGATGGAGTGAAATCATCCTTGGAACCTGAAGTGGCTGTCTCCCTGGTCAACACTACTGGGTCTTCACCTAAATAGCAACCATCAACTCCCTCAAAACAATTACCATCCTGCTACCGTTGTGGTCAGCATCACGTCCGGTCGTCAGACTGTAGACAACAGAAGACGGTTTTGTCGGTTTTTAATGAAAATCGGCTATATCGAGCGAATGCGTTTCTCCAAAAAGACGAATACTGGCATTCATGCCCCTACCCTAATCCAGCTGGAAATGGTGAGAGGATACTCCGAATGTATTCGACCAACGTACCGCTCCAGTCGTTCTACACCATCACACTTCCGGTTGATGGCCATCCTCTAAAGTTGGATGTCGACACTGGCTCCGCTGTTACTCTCATCAACGAGGCCTCTCTTCAGAAATTACGCCTCCCCTCCTTCTGGCTAGCTCAACTTTCCGTAGTTTCACTGGACAGAACGTAGAGGTTCAAGAGGTCTTTACAGTCGAAGTTGAGCATGATGGAGCACTTCATTACTTACCGGTTCATGTAGTGGGAGGACGGCAGCAACCAACTCTCCTTGGAAGGAACTGAATTAAGTGTGCGTCTTCTGTGCTGTCCTATGCACATGGTTTGATGGTAAATCAGAAAGAACTGTTTCGTGACGATTCTTCTACCCACCACCGCGGTCCGCCTGTTAAGTTCCCAGTTTCATTCAGATTTTCGGCCTCGGTTCTTCAAAGCTTGTTCAATTCCCTTTGTAGTCCTACCGAAGGTCGAAGAAGAGCTGGGTCGCCTGCAGAAAGCGGAAATTATCGAGCCCGTGAAATATTCGGAATGGACAGCCCTAACAGTTTCTGTTCTTAAATCCGATGGTTCCGTGCGTATTTGTGACGACTGCAAACTGACGATCAAAACATCAACTAAAATAAACCCTTATCCTTTCCCGCTCATCGAGAATCTGTACGCATCCCTCTAGGGTGTTCATCAATTTAAACTTTGGACCTGAAGCATGCTTACAACCAGGTCGTCCTAGATACCGAATCCCTAGACGCCACCACCCTCAATACACATCGGGATTTGTTTCGATACAAAAGACTGCCATTTGGTGTAGGTTCTGCTCCCGGTTTATTTTAATGCTTGATTGATAGCCTCGTGAAGGATGTGCCTCACGTTTGCTCATATCTTGACGATATATTATTCACCAGTCCATTTTGGTGGGTGCGGTGATGCCGATTGCCTTTGCATCAAAAACCATGTTCCAGTCGGAAACCAACCATTCTCAGCTAGATAAGGAGGCCTTAACAATAATGTCTGGCATACATCGTTTCCACCTGTATCTTTTTGGTCGACCCTTCGAGATTCCTACCGATCACAAACCCCTCTTAGGTTCGTTGGGCGAAAAACGAGGAATATAGCAGATGTCCTCGCCAAGAATGCAAGGACGGTTAACCACTCTCTCCGCTTGCACATACGCAATGAAATACGCTACGAGTGGTACAAACGTAGTGGCTGACACCTTGAGTAGGCTTCCCATCGTAGACGATGGCGTTAACGGGGCACCTGTTTTTGAGACCGTGACTCTCTTGCAGAACCCATTCAACGCACTTGTAACCTATCAACAAATTGGACGATGGACATCGTGAGACCCTCTTTTAAGTGGGGTAAGAAGACCCTTGCAAGCTGGCTGGCCGTTCTCTACCTCCCCTGGTTTTCAGCCATTCTTCAGCCGTCAGAGCGAGTTGAGTTTACAAGACGGGTGCATACTTTGGAGCACTCGTGTAGTTGTGCCACCACAGGGCCGACGGACCATCCTCAGACCACCTGTGGCGCTTAACCCCCTCACTGCATCTATCCCTGCTCCTTCACCTCCAAGCAGACCAAACAGGTAAAACGGGTCAGCCCAAAGGTCAGCGCAGCCAATCTTCCTGGCAGCTCCACCTTGGTCGCATATTTTATGTCCGCGACAGCCGGAATGGCAGGCCCTTATTGGTTGACACTGGCGGACAGTTAAGTGTCATTCCTACCCCACCAGCTGATCGTCGGTGCCCCAATCCAGGCCTTTCCTTCAGGCCATCAACACGTGGCTCGATTACCACCTTCGGTACCTGCTCCCTCTCTCTGGAAATTGGCCTACTGCGTCTTTTCCGTTGGGTCTTCATCGTCACTGACATTTCCTGTGCCATTCTCGGTGTAGACTTTCTTGCCGCTTTCGATCTTCTGGCCGACTGTCGTCAATTCAATTTACATAACAAGACCACCAATCTCACCGTCTGGGGTATCTCTTCCTCTGACGCTTCCCGCTAACTCGCCATCTTGGACCCTGAGCCCGAGGACCCATTTCGGCAACTCTTCGCCAAATACCCTGGCCTCACCCGTCCCAACTTCAGCACTTCTGTACCGCCACACGACGTTGTTCACCACATCCGGACCACTAGCCCTTCCTTATTATCTCGCCCCCATCGTCTCGCACTCAAACGACCGTCTGCCGCCTTGTAGGTCACACCTAACCCTTAGCTTTCTCCTCCAGGAAGTTGTCACCTACCAAGACGCTCTATAGCATATTTTGATGAGAGTTCCTTGCTGTCTCCCTCGCCATGATTCAATTCCTACACTTGATGGCAGGGACTTCACTTTGTTCACGGATCACAAGCCTCTTCGCTCTCAAGTCCACATCGGATAAGCTCAACCTCCGGGAAATTCGCCAGCTAGACTACACTCTGCAGTTTGCCTCAGACATCCACCATATCGACAGGTCACACAATGAGGTGGCTGACTCACTCTCCAGGCCCTACGTCACACGTCTCCAACATTCTCCCGGGATCGACCTAGCTGAGATGGCTGCCGAACAACGCCGTGTTGGTTCTCCCTGTGACTAGGACGTTTCCGGACTCCACCTCCAGGACCTGCCACGGACTACTGGCAACGGCACCATTCTATGCGACGTCTCCACCACTTCTCACCGTCCCTTTGTGCCGCCATCCTTCCACCACAAAGTCTTCTCCTCCCCGCAAAACCTTACTCACCCTGACAGTCGAGCTACCGACAAGCTGTTCTCCGACCACTTCGTCTGGCCTGGGATACACAAGGACCTGAAACCATGGACACGGGCGTGTCTCGACTGTCAACGGAATAAGGTCCAACGGCACAACAAAGCTCCCATCGACACCTTCCCCTCTCAGGATGCACTGTTCAGTTATGTCCACCTGGACATCATACCCCCCCCCGCCGCCTCTGTCGAATGGCTGTTTCTATCCTCTCACCCGTGTGGATCGATTCGCCCGATGGCCAAAAACCACCCGCCTGCCGGGCCTTGCTGTTCCAACAGTCGTCAAAGTCTTCCTCAGTCGCTGGGTTGCCATCTTTGTTGTACCCTCCACTGTCATGACTGTCGGCGGTGTCCAATTTGAATCCAACCTCTTCCGGTCTCTTCTCTCCTTTTTAGGCTGTACTCGCATCCGCAGTATAGCTTATCATCCGCCAGCCAACGAAATGGTCGAGCGGTTTCACCGCCAACTGAAAGCCTCCCTGCGCGCCGCAGATGATCCGGAGAACTGGACGGACCACCTCCCTCTTGGTCCTGTTGGACATTCGCTCCTCCCTCCTGTCGGACCTTGACTGTTCCACTGCAGAACTCGTGTTCTTTGCCACTGTTCGACCTCCCAGTAAGATGATCTCGTCAACCCCGCGAGTTGCAATTGAGGATCCTACCAACTTCCTGCACCGTCTCCGACAATTCATGTGGACACTTTCCCCGGTTCCGCCCAGTCCATCTGTCTCCGAGTCTTACCTCGAGAAAGACTTGGCGACATGCTCTCACGTCTAGCTCCGATGTGATCGAGTCCGTCGGCCACTGAAACCACCCTACGACGGCCCCTTCCGAGTTATCCTTCGTGGGACGAAGAACTTCCGCATCCAAGGCGGAACGCGTGATGAGGTCGTGAGTGTGGGCTACCTCAAAGGTGTCGTCTCTGACACTCATCCGGATGAGCCCTGTGGTCCTCTACCCCCTGCTCCACCTTCGCGACCCTCTGTCTCTCCGTCCTGTATACTTGCTTTTCCCACATTTCCGCTACCCCCTCATCAACCTCCAATGCTGTAACCTCAAGCCATACTCACTCTCCACCCGTGTCCCCTGTATGTGGTACCCGTAGTGGACGCCATGTTCATTTTCCTGACTGTTTGATAAGTCATGTTTTTTGACATAAACAATACGTTCGGTGTCGCTGCACGCTGCCTCCGGTCTAGCTGGAGACACTGTGACAGTCCGCGCCTCCTTGTTCTCCACTGCTTTGTCATGTTGCCTTCCTGTACGTCTCGCACTCCCGGTCGATCCGCTGCTGGGACGCGCCTTCAGTGACCTCACGAGTGCTCGAGGGCAATAAAAGCTGCCCATTCTCTGGTTGGCTGGCGGACACTAAGGCGGAGCGAAAGGCGCACACACGCGCTGGAGTCTAGACACCTCGACGCCGTACACAGAAACAACTTGCCTGGAGAGACCGCTCGCGGCGATTCGTTGCAGAGCCTGTGTATACTTACCTCCTCAGCAGTAAAAGTTGTCCAATCCAATCCGTCTTCCCCAACTTCTGATTTTGGGACCTCAGTCTTGTCGACCATACCATCTCGACAGATTTAGAGGCGGTCCGTAACGCTGGCCTGACGTTTAACCTTCCCCCTCCCCCAAACGCACCTTCCTACGTTCCGAAGTCCAATTCCTAGGACATGAGATTTCGCCAGGCCACGTTGCCGCTCTACCTGACCGTCTTCAACAAATTCGTACCTGGCCAATCCCTGCCAACCAGGCACAGCTACGTAGCTTACCGGGTCTCGTCTCCTACCACAGACGGTTCATTCGTAACTTTGCCCACATTGCCGACCCTCTTCATAAACTGACAAAGAAGGGCAGGGAATTCAAGTGATTTTATGAGTGTGAGGAGGCTGTCATTGAGCTTCGCGCCGCCCTCGGCTCCGCCACAGGTGCCAGCGCATACCACTCTGCGAGGGCCATGGTTTGCTGAATCATGTCATGACGCACATAATCCTTTAAGCCACATAAACAATACACAGTCAGAATGGCCCTCCAACTGCAAGAACCTTTTTGAAAAAGATATACTTCTCCCATCACATTCAGTCGGATCTTGTTGTTGCAATGTATAGTTGTTAACGACTGTTTATAACGCTGTCATTTACAATCCGTTCGGTTGCTCGGTTAACATGATGACCGATAGGCTTTGTAAACTGCAACAATATAATGACTGGTGGTCCGTATAGTACGAAGCTGGGCAAGTTTGCCAAGCGTCTTACACAATTCTCAGATGCTGAAGACTTTCGAAGAACTTCCCAAATCAATCCTCAGCCGTGTTGGATAATGCCAAAGCGAGTTTCAGAAAACCTTGGATAGGTTTGAATTAGTCTGGGGTTCATGCTGTCAGGGCTTCTTCTCGTTCTAGGGCCACAAAACGCTGCAGATTTTCATTAACAACCTAGCACCCGCGGCAGATTTCTTTATTATTAGAGATGAGCATATTAACGTTCTGAATTTAACTGTTGCTACTGGCACAAGTATTAATGACAGGCATGCAGTTTTCGTCAGTAGAATTTCCATATTAGCAAATAGCTTGTTAATCTCCGTCATAAGAAGTGTTTTTTTACTGCAACCACGAAACCGGAAAACAGCCATTTTGTTGGTATCAATTAACTCAGGCTTGCAGCAATTGGTCATAACTGATAGATAAGGCCTTTCTACAGCTAGAGAACGACCATTTATTCACGAAAAGCAATTTGGAATTGGCATTTTTGAACAAAGGAAGTTCTATTTGACTCTTGCCCACCGTTTAAGAGCCCTCAAAACCGCCAAAAAATTGTGCCAGAAGCTATTCGTTTTTACTCAGGGCATAGTCAAAGTTACTAAAACGGACATTTTTGGACTCTGCTCATACCTGAATGTAAACTGCTAAAAATCATTTATTCAAAAGCCGTCTTTACTTATGTCGCTCATATGCATTCCGACGGCGTTCGTAGCCCGCTCAATAAATTGCAATAATCCGATGTTCTTTGGACCAAAGCTGAGAATAAATCAGACAGTTAGCTGAGACCTAGGTCAAGAGTAACAATTTCTAAACTAGAGTCACTAAAGTCTGATTAGGAAGCAATGAAATCACAAGGATACAAAAAAACTGAACAGTGTTTGAAACTAGTGTGAACAGGAATTGTCATCAAAGTGGGCTTCTGACTAAAAAGTGCCTTGCAATTAACGTTTATATGTGCTGGGGTATAGGGGTGTCCACTTGTGGGTCCACGTGACGGATGTTAGGTCACTCACTTGCTTTCAGGTGTACATAACGTCTAGCATCCACTAAATGGCACCCAACTCCCACATGTGGCTCACAGAAGTTAGACTCTTCCTAGCGGCCACACCCCAGTAA